TTCTACATTATTTTACTGTGTCATGGTTACATGCAAATATGCATGGTTATCTTAAACTAAACCAACTGCAAAAAGTGATGTAGTTGAAAGAAGGACTCTGGGAGGACTGCAGCGGGTAAGTAACTGTTCATTTCTAACTAAACATTATCATTTGTAGCAACCAAATTTTACCAACTTTTGCCCAACTCAAAATTTGTGTCTGATCTGTCAAACAATTGCAAGTGAGCACACATGGATGTATATAGCACACAGTATATGGAATGCAGTAAAAGTTACTTAATAGTTGTAAAATGCTATATTCAGATAGATTAAGACGGATGAAACACTTAAAGATAGTTTTTCAAGCTTTAAGCTGCATAGTTGTATATAAACATGGCTGAACTATTTTCTTGTTTCTAACAACCCAATGGTGTGTCACGATCCTGGGTCTTTTGACCAGGCGTTTTGAGTTTAAGTTTATTTGGAGGTTTATGGTTTATGTTTAAGTTCACTGGGTTTTCTAAGTTCATTTGTTTTTTAACGTCCCCCTTGTGTTTTCAACCCCTGTGTTAAGTCCCCTTTGTCCTTTATGTGTTTCATGTCTTTTGTTGTCAAGTTCATGTTGTCATGTCTGCGTTTCATCATGTTTCCTGTTTTATTTTGAAGAGGTCCTGTGTTCCTGTGTTGTGTTTAGTTTTACGGTTCCCCTGTGATGTTGTTCTGTGCATGTGTGTCAGCTGTTTCTTTTCCCCATGTGTTCCCACTTCTCTCATTATCCTCCTGTATGTATTTAGTCCGTGTGTTTCCAGTCATTACTTGTCAGGTTGTTTGCTAGTCCACGTCGTGTTTCCAGGTATCCATGCAAGGTCTTCATGTTCAAGGTTTTTTCATGTTTTAATTTTAGTTCACCCAGTTAAGGTTATTCTTTAGTTTCACACATGCCGTTTGTTTGTATCTATTTTTGCCAGCCTTAATAAATGGCTCGTTTTTTGTTAATCCACGTTACGTTTCACATTCTGTTTTGGTCTGCACTTCAGTCCTTTTTTTTACTATACATACAGTCTGCCTCAGCCATACTGTGACATGGTGTAAATTCTAATTACATAAAGGGTTAAATATCCTTATCAGAAATAAATATTTGCCTATTTCTAAAATTTAAAAAAAGGAATTTATTTGTTTTTCAGAATCCAGAATGTGTTTTCTGTAGAATGAATTCTGCTTTAAACACCCATTTGGTGCTGTTATTGATGGTGTTTGCCCAACTACCTTCTTCCTTTACTAAAGGTAACTAAATGAATCCACAAAGTTATCTTGAAGCATTTTGTTTGTAAAGGCAAATATGAATGTCAGTCGCAGTTTTTAGATTCGTTTCATTTGCAAAGCAGTGGCTACCAGGCCACTGTTATCACATTCCACTGTTCTCATATTTAATTTTAAATCTTCAAAGATAACTATTCATGATCGCACACTTTCTGTCACCCAACTCTAACTCTACAGTCTCTAAACCAAAAAAAAATATATTATTTTTCTTTCTCCTGTCTCAGGTACCATTCAGGTAATTGGTTCATCTCACCCAATAGTTGCTTTAGTGGGTGATGACATCATACTGCCATGCTATTTGAACTCCTCAATAAGTGCCTCAGACAAGACGGTGGAGTGGACAAAATACAAGCTGGATCCCAGATTTGTTTATGTGTGGCGTGATGGTGGTGAACTGGAAAGCAAAAAGAATCCCTCCTACAAAGGAAGAACAACGGTATCCCTTCATAAATTAAACCATGGAGACATTTCACTGAATCTGTCTAAAGTGAGACTTTCTGATAGGGGAAGATATAGATGCTTCCTTCCAGATATGGGTGAAACTTTACTGGAGCTCATTGTTGGTAAGAAATATCTGATATTTATCAATCAAAGAAGTGGTTTAAGCTTAAACTCAAATACAAAGTATCGCCAGACATTAGCATTATATAACAGAAAAGTAGTTTCTATTCATATGAAAAAGTCTGTAAATGTGCAGCCAAATCGATCTCTTATTTGGAGTTCCTCTTAATGAAATCATGGTGCACTCTGCCAAAGGAATATTGTGTGCTTCATCTTAGGGGCTGTATCCCTACCTGTAATATTGCGTGTTCAAAAAGCCAAGACTGGAGTTGCATTACAGTGTGAGTCTGCAGGCTGGTATCCAGAGCCTGAGCTGCTGTGGTTGGACGGTGAGGGAAACCTCCTCTCTGCTGGACCTACAGAGACCCTCAGAGGTCCTGATGACCTCTATACTGTCAGCAGCAGAGTGACTGTGGAGAAGAGACACAGCAACAACATCACCTGCAGAGTCCAACAGAGGAACACCAACCAGAGCAGAGAGACACACATACATGTTCCAGGTAAAAACATGATGAAACTCAGGTCACATAGTGAACATGCACATCCATACAGTGTGGTCATGTCCAAACACAATGTTTACTCAGAACATGTGACTAGAAAGGCAACACAATTTTTGGTCCTGCTTTTGGTGATATTTGAAGCAAATCCCTTTTATTGTCTTTATTCTTTAAAATATTGGCAAAAATATAGGTCATATAAAAAAGAAATCAAATACACATATACAACTGTTGATTGTGTTATTGGGATGTGATTCATTATTTTCTGTTTTATTGTTTCAGATTATTTTTTCACGACCCCGCCAAATCCTGCAGTTTGTGTCAGTCTGCTTAGTCTCTTTGTTATTTCACTTTTGTGCATTCTTCTGGTGATCTTTGTTTGCTGGATACAGAGAAGGAAAAAGATCAGTAAGTCGTATGCAAAATAATTTAAAATTTGTTTTCTTTTCTTGCAGCTCAGTGATTGATTTACAGTGAAGTGATGAATAAGAGTGCTCAGACCTGTTTTTTTGTATCAAGAAAATCTCAGCATGATGCTGCAGTAGTACACAATAGTAAAACAGTCCACTCAGAACTGGCCAATTAAAGATGTTTTTCATGTCTTCTTAGGATCACATTTGAATGCAATATACTTTAAGATGTCTTTTGTTAGTCTTAACGTTGTGGATGACCAGATTGTGTATTATCAACCCAAACAGATTTTTTCTAAAACAACAAGCAGTAAAGTGAAAAAAAAAAAGAGGCTGACAAATTTATTACACCACCAAATGTCCTGTTTTCTTATACAGGAAGAAAGAGGTTTCTGCCTTCCTCTTTACAATACTTTGTTTCCTCTTGTCATAAACCATTGCTCCTGTCAGCTCAAGCTGCTCTTGCAAAATGACTCATTTTATATACTTTGTTGTAGTAGCATTTATCACAAAGGCAGACCAAAGGTATTTTTCAAAGGCAAACCTGGAGAATGAGGAGCGGCTCCAATGCCACAGCATACAAGTAACTATTGTTTAAAGTAAAGACTAATCTAAAGTAAATATCCTTTCTCTGTGCACAGGAATTCAGACAAACCACACTGTAGCTCAGATGGAACAAGACTGAGACAAGCAGAGCCAAAAGAAGAAATGGAGACTCATAAGATGTTGGAAAAGAGAAGACAAGAGAATTAATCAGTGACAGTATGCTTTCATATAGTGTGTTTATTTCAGAACCTTTCGTCTTTCAGCTGCACCATTTAGGGAGTGATCATCTGTGTCCATCTATTTCTGTCTCTATCCTCCTCTGTCACACCAACCTTCTGCACATCCACCTTCACTACATCCATAAATCTTCTCTGTCTAATTCACTGAGCTGTTTCGTCCGACCCATTACTTGACATACTTCTTGAGGCAAACTTTACACATCTGTGGCAATGGGATTGAAAACACATGAATTCAAAAAGTAAGAGCTGTGGCTCAATACTTTTCCATATAATTTACTATGAAAGTAAAAACCACCACTCAGTAGACTGCATGCTTAAACAGCAGTTTATTTGAGTTTTGATTTATTTTCTTGCTAATACATATAGAAAAATATTTAAGCAGTTAAATGTGCTTTGGAATTTGCTATACATAAGGACAAAAAGGCAGTACATCCAGTAAGATACAGACCATATCATAAACATTAAGTGGTAACCATGAAGAGATTTTTAATGTAAAAATTCAGAGAACGAATAATCGTTTTGAGAAGTTAATGGGTCTTTTGGTGTCTTTTTTAACTTTCTGTTTTTTTTTAGTTGTACAGTTTTGTTTAATAGTCGTGATGTGCACAATGTTGAATAAATAACTTAATAAAATTCTTTCTTTTATTCATCCAAATATGTTTTTTAATCAAAACATTATGACTATGTATTATAGGCTAGGACAGATGTGCGACAGTTTCTACATCTATCACAGTGGAAAGTCCATCTGGTCATCATTGTCATTATTTCCTCAATAAACATCCTTTACGTTATCAGTGTGTTTTTAATCTATGTTAACAGCTCAGCCATACCAAAGCAAATCACTGGGAAGTAATTAACAAGTTATTTCACGTTCAATGCAGTATTCTAAGAATACTGCATTTTATCGCATATATGGTCATTAGAGCACAGAGGCCACTGCATTAGGTTTGAATATCTATCTACAGTATTCTGGCTGATGTATGAATGATAGCTCTATAGGCAGACTGATCATTTCATTCAAACCAGCATTAGCTTCCTCGAGTGACAGAGAGCGAGTGGATAAATGTTTTTTGTTAACATGAATGTTCAAGATGTTCAATAAACATGTTAAGTGTGTATATTTTCTTTTTTCTCAAGTCTGTTTGCTCAGGCAAAATGAAAAGCAATTAATGTAGAATAAAAATGAATGATATTTAATCATGATTAATCAAAATGAATCCACTGTAACCCTGTGATGAATCTGATTAAACATTTGAATTGTTTGACAGCACTAATATATATTATATATTAGTCTATTCTTGCTTAATATTAGTGTATATAGTTTTTTTTAAAGTTGTATTTCACACAGAGAACCTGTGTTAAAAGACTGAAGAAAACTATTCAAATTATCTTTGAATTTAAGCATTTAACATTCTTTGTGTTTATTCTGCATTTACTTCATTATATTGCATAAATGTCAGTTACAAGCTTAAATATAAAATGTAATGCAACCAGGCTATTGATCAAGTAATTGCGATTAATCGCGATTAATTACAGAATATTGTGTGATTAATTAGTTCATTTTTTTAATCTATTGACAGCACTAGTAATTATATATATCTAAAATATGTGTATTCTTTTAGTTTTCTCAAGCTATATTAATCAACCGAGACAGAGTTTTCTTTTTCTATAAACATTTTGTTAGGTCTAGGAGGGTCATTTGTGTGTCTGTTACTTCTGCGGTTTGCGTTTGATGAGCTGCAGCCACTAAATAAAACCTTGGGTAACACATGCTGCAAGAACTCAGTGCACACCTTTAAAAATATACATGTGACTATATAATGGTTATATCTATTCTGCTTTGCAAACATCAACAGCCACAGTCATATTCACTCATATATTCAAGTTAGTCTTTTTTTTGTTTCTTTTTTAAGGTATTTGCAGAAATAAAATAATTTTTGAGTCTCTCGCATTGTCAAAATGCAATGCAAATGTATTTTAAATAAAAACAGATTAAATGTAATAAAATAAAAGAACAACAGTAAAACTGTAGTAACCAAACTTATAAAAGTGTTTATGTGCTTGATGGTGATTTCTTGTTGATTATGATTGATTCATCAATCTATGAGTTCTTTTTTGGTCCGAGTTTCCCACAGTGAAGGAGTCCCACAAGCAGTATCAGCAGAGCTACCATCACAATAGTTAGGACGACCCGCAAAAGGAGGAGGAGGTGAAAGAATTGGTCCGAACAAAAACATGCCTCTCTGGGAAGCCCTGCAACGACACCACGTCATCATATGTCACACAAAACTCATTTACATGTTTTTCTTTTTACTTCTTACCATTTTGTCTTCTTGGGACACATTAAACTTCTCTTACTGTAATCCGCAATTTGTAATGTAATGGTAGGGTTAATTTTATGTATAGGGTCATATACTTATTAAGAAAATAAAGCTTAAACTGTATCCATGACAGACAACAAATGTGTAGACAATTTATCCAAATTTCTCTGATGTTTTAAAGCAACAGTATTACAAAATACAACTGAAGAGTTCAATATAAGTGCTGTAAATAGCTATTTATGGTTAAACAGACACAACAATCAAGCACAAAATCCTTATTTTGATATTTTCAATCATGTTTATGTGTCACCTCTAACAGACAGCCATTTTTCTGATGATTCTCCTACTCCAGATATTGTGCACTTGTAAAGTCCTTCATGACTCTTGTAGACTTGGTGGATGGTCATGTTTCCCACAGAGCTGGTCCCAATGAAGAGGCCATCTTTATAGAAGACAGCTGGAAGGTTTGCAGACGTCTCGTTTAGGCAGCTCAGAACCACAGTTTCCCCCTCCATCACAGGATGAGCAGGGCTCTCCAGGGTCACCGTGATATCTGATTAAAGTAGAGTTTATGAATATTTCATAGTCACTGGGTCTTTTACTG